CCCATATTGTAGAGGTGGAAGAGCTTAACTAACTAATCTCATTAGCTTGTCTAATTTTTATTAACGTAAGCCGTATATTATATTGTATTTATTTAGGGGGATTTTCGTCCCAATACTTATTATTGTACAATAAGGTTTTATTACATTTCTCGATGTATACACGTATTTAGGTGTGTATGGCTTTTGTCCATGTTTACAAAACATCAAGGCAGTTGAATCCTTGCGATTTACTAGTGTGTGTGTTTTTTTGGCTACGGTCAACATCAAAAGAGGTGTGATTGCTATCTATCACCCACCTACCCAGAAGATTTATATATTAAGATATGGGGTCTACACAACATGTCGCATCCTGACGATGTTATCTCCTTTGGGAGAAAAACTTCCCTGGCACGGGTATGCCAGGGTCAGCCATCCACATCAGTATCCCAATTCAATGAAATCTCGCATCTGTCAAGTTATCTGACTTCCCATTTGATTCCTTTTTTTAGTGAAACCTCCCACATAATATTTTAAGAATACTTTTAGTGTGTACAAAATCTCCAGAATACCCTCCCCACCCATTCCTACCTCTAACCAAAATCTTTTTCTTTTTTTTAATGTCGAATAACCAAATACCCTTCTTGTTCCCGTGCTTTCTCTTCTTTCCCAGCACTACTCCTCCACCGCAGCATAACCACCCAACGCCCCCTTCCCCCGTGACCACCGCCCTCCAACCCCCAACAAACCCAGAACCCTAACCTAGCAGGGGCATTCGAAAAAACAGAGAGAAGAAAATGGTACAAAAGCAATTGCTGCTTCAGTGATGGGTTATGACTTGAGTGAGTTTTCGACAACAAAAAAAAGGACTTGAGTGAGTTGAGTTTTGAAGAAAATGGAATGGAAGCAAGTTGAGCGAGAAATATCCCAGAAAAAGAAGAGAAATCACTTTTCATTAAAAAAAAAGAAAAGAAAAAGAAAAGATTGGTTGGAAGAGAAGGTTGGAATCGGTGGGGGGGTATTCTGGAGATTTTGTACTGACTAAAAGTATTGTTAAAATATTAAATGATAAATTTTATTATAATAAAAAATCAAATGGGAAGTCAGAGAACTTAACAGGTGGCGTGATTTCATTGAGTTGGGATACTGATGTGGATGGCTGACCCTGGCATACCCGTGCCAGGGAAGTTTTTCTCCCAAAGGAGATAACATCGTCAGGATGCGACATGTTGTGTAGACCCCATATCTTAATATATAAATCTTCTGGGTAGGTGGGTGATAGATAGCAATCACACCTCTTTTGATGTTGACCGTAGCCAAAAAAACACACACACTAGTAAATCGCAAGGATTCAACTGCCTTGATGTTTTGTAAACATGGACAAAAGCCATACACACCTAAATACGTGTATACATCGAGAAATGTAATAAAACCTTATTGTACAATAATAAGTATTGGGACGAAAATCCCCCTAAATAAATACAATATAATATACGGCTTACGTTAATAAAAATTAGACAAGCTAATGAGATTAGTTAGTTAAGCTCTTCCACCTCTACAATATGGGCAGAGGTTCAAAATCCCTACGCACCTAATAAATATTTGTGTAAACCTCCCTCCTCTAATCGCTTGTACTATAAAAACAAAAACAAAAACTAGACCATGAATGTCCCAATAGCCTAATTTAATGTGCAAGAATTCTATAGTGAGGGCCTTGTATATGGCCCTTAGATGAGATTCTATCTCTTAACCGTTGGATCAAATTGCCCAAAATATAGAAAAATCATACACTACCCAAATCTTAGGGGAAAAAACTCAATTGACTTTTCAAATGGATTATATATACAATAAAAACCTTGAAAAACCTAAAAATTACAACAATATCAAAAGTGTTTTGTTTTTCTTAAAATTATAATGCAAAGATAATAATGTTATTTCACACATCATTCAAATTAATAAAAATATTGCAAACGGCTCTTTTTGGGTTTTTTCTTCAATTTAAAGGTTTTAGTGTTTATATATAAATTCAATGCAAGAAATGGGTTTTATTCTAAATTTCTCTTTGCTAAATTAACTGCATGGAATGGAAGGAAAATTTTTTCGATGGGAAACAGTAGAATTCGGATAAAGCTCGCTTGCTGTTTGCTCTGAATCTGATGCTCTACTGTATTATGAGAAAAAAAAAAAACACCAAACAAACAAAATAAAGCTCGAGCTCTGTGAAAAGTATATAAGCACAACTGGCTAATTCATTGCTAGGGGTAAGCAGAAAAAGAGATCATCTCAGAATGGCATAGTCAAAGCCATTTTTGTTTTCTTTTATCTAAAATTATTTGCATATTCCTTACCAATAATAAAAGAAAAACCTGCATATTGGGAGGAATTAATGACAGAAACTGAAAGCCTTACTGACACGCTAACAAGTTAATCACTTTAGACACTCCAAGTGAAATTTTTCCTACCTAAAACAAACAACCTCACAGTACCTCATCATTTGTTGTCTTGGGCTCATTTCCCTCATTTATTCCATTAGCATCATCTGCATGTAGATGATCTTGGTGGTCATCATCATCTTCAATTTCCTCTTTTTCTTCCTCATCCTCTAATACATCATCATCTTCCTCATTTTCCTCATCTAGAATTTCGTCGTCGGGCATGACAAAGTGCAGCTTGAGACGCCCGTCTTCTCTGTAAGCGTGGAGGAACTCCTGGGTGGGAATTCTGATCTCCTTGAGGACAAATCTGCCATCCTGCCTGTAAGACTTGAAGCAAACCCAAGGCTTCCCGCTCTTGCTTATGCAAGAAATTGGTGGAGGAAATCCCCCAACACTAGTCCTTGACCTCCTAGATTCACCACCACAACCATTCATTTCTGATATTGGAAAATATTGCTTTGCAAAGCTAACCTTCTCCTCTTGCATACTACTCTGCCAATTATCTTGATCACTAGTCTTGATCAAGTCCTCAACCTCATCTGAGCTTTCAAATCCAAGTCCCTCTGTGCAGAACTGCAAGCTCTCTGAATTCATTGATGAAAAGCTATCACTGCTTTTATGAGACCTGTTGTAATTGGAACTCCTTGGGGAGCTTGGAAAGGATTCCTTTGATGGGATTTTCTGGTAATTATTCTCCTCCTCATTCTTGTTGTCAATATTGGATTCTTCTTCTTTTTCAATCTTGGGTTGTGGAACATCAAAATCTACCAAAGATGGGGATGAAGATGAGGAGGACATCAAATGAGAACTGATGTTCTCTTTGAAATGAAGCTCACCAAAGATCTCAGTGAAGGATGATGAATTCTCAGGAGGAATGGATAATGATTTATTTAGAGGCTTGATTTGGTTCCATGGTGAGGAGAAGGATTCAAGAAGTGTTGTTGGGTTCTCAGGTAATTTAGGGTTTTCAAAGATGTGTTGGAGGCTTCCACAGGCCGCCATGGCCTTGTTCTCTGCACTTCTTACTCTTCTCTGTCTCTCTGTCTCTCTGTCTCTCTAAGATGCTTGAGACAAAAGAAACAAATAAAGGGTAGTTCCAGAAAGAAATATAAGAGATGAGATTTTGATGGTGGAGAGAAAGAGGCACGGGATCAGGCATGTGGGTTGAAAAAATCAAAGCGTGTGTTGTTGCTATTAATTAATGAGGATTGGTGGTGGGTGCTGATTCAGTTGGACTGGAATATGGAGATGGGTGGTGTTGGTTCTACGCCTTAAATTTGGTGCTTATTGTTGGACGTAAATTTCTGACAAAACCTTTGGTGTAATTAGCAGATATAAGTTATAACCGACCCATTATTTTTTGCTTGTTTTGTTACACTTAACAAGGCCTAGCTATGTAAAGGCACCTCACATGAATTATCTAGGTTTCATGACAAGTTTATGTTTTAACTGTGATGACAATGTTTATAAGTGTATTAATTTAGTACAATACCTTACTTGCCAAATGATCATAGATTGTGCGCTCGCGTACTCGTTTATCATGTGAAATCATGACTCAATCTATGATAATAACATAGCCAAATAAATAGACCAACAAAATAAATAGAAACTGAAATCTTCAAAGTGATAATAACATAGCCAAACAATCTGTAACATATTGGCCGAAACATCATCATGGTACCAGGATCCTCTTTGTGTGGAGTGAATGACCCCAGTAATGTGATTTTTTCTTTCCTCTTTCAATTTTTTTTCCAGAGACGACTCTGGAGAATGACTGATGTTTTTGTACGGATGTATATATTTTCCATCTTACAACCTGGTGGCAGAGGAAACTGATGTGATTTGCTAGAGGATTTGAACCCATACCCTTCGCATCTTTGAGTCTTCTCTTTACATCATTTCTTGCCTACCCAACACTACTCGCTTGTGTGAAACGAAAGGGACTTGGTACAAAGCACCACACAATGGCATTTGGAATTGTTCTTGCTTGATTTTTTTTTGGATATATATAATATATAGTCCCCTTAAAGGTACCCTATAATTTTTTTTCGACGATCTAAACCATCTATTTTTTAGGTTTTCATTCAAAGATTATTCCTACAAAAAATTAGACAAATCGGAAACCATTAGACATCTAATTGTGTCCTACAAAATTAATGAACACGGTGCTTCATGAAAGTACTAAAATTTCAACAAATTAATTGAATAGTCAAATGATATCGGATTCAAGTGATTTTTTGCAAAGATCTCAGTGTACAAAATAGACGTTTGGATTAATGAAATACAATGTATGGTGGGCTCTACAAGGGTGTCCCTCAAATAAGCTTATTTGAGAGATCCCTCAACCGAAGCTCAATATATATATATATATCAGTCCCCTTCTATTGACAGATTCCTCAAATAATTTTATTTGATGGACGCCATTTAGGGTACCCTACGAATTTATTTTCAACGATCCAAACCATCTATTTTTTAGGTCTTCATTCATAGATTATCCTTACAAAAAATTAGACAAATCGGAAACCGTTTAGATATCTAATTGTGTCATACAAAATCAATGAATATAGTGCTTCAAAAAAGTACTTAAATTTCAATAATTTAATTGAGTGGTCAAATGATATCGGATTCAAGTGATTTTTTGTAGAGATGATCTGTGAATGAATGCTACAAAATAGACGGTTTGGATTTGTGAAATATAATGCGGAGTAAGCCCTACAAAGGTGTCCCTCAAATAAGAAGGATACCTCAATGAAAACCATATATATATATATAGAGAGAGAGAGAGAGTTTTCATTGATTGCATATATATATATATAAAATGGATGACTAGGGAAAGGGATTACTCATTTTAAATGATTGCATTGGATATATAATTAAAAAAATGAAATGAAATTTAAAATAAACTTTTTTAGTATTTGAAGTCCACCCTTTTTTTTCCCCCTCAAATAGCAACATCGCATGTAGATTTTGTTCACATAAAAGATTAATATTTTTAAGGTTCAATTAAACAATTTGCACTGAAATTTCAAATCTAAATTCATCCGTTCGAATTTAAAAAGGATGGATTTCAAATATGAACCCACATTTCTATTATAAACTTTGATGTTTTGAATACAAGCGAGTAAGGGGGGTTTCTCGCACGCACACACACACTACCAAGGTGTATGGAGGTTTGAACTTGAGACTACTGGTTTGCAAGTTAATGTTTTTTGTTTTTTCACTAGGCTAGAACTCATTGACTATGAACTTTATGTTAAATCAACCAGATGAATCTAGACTTTAAATTGTATGCGTCATACATCAAATCAGTAGGATTTGTCTTAAATTATATTTGTTCACATACGAATGTTGTAATTTCATATATGAGACATAAGAAATTTCCTCATAAATGATAAGGGTATTGATGTGCGAGACGTGGATGAGATTGTTCTGTCACTGTCCCTGTCCTAAGCTGCTGCCCATGTTCTTATGAGTGAATATCATGTTGATTTGTAACGAATCTTTGAAGAAAAATATATACCACAACATGTCATCTCTATATTTTCTCTCGAAGACGAAAAATCTAAATTGCCACAACATGTTACCTCTAATTCGTAGATTTAGTTGTTACTGTTAGAGAACACTAGCCTCAAAAACTTAAGTTATTAAAGAATGAGAAACCCACTCTAATTACCTCTTGTTCAAAGAAAGATAGGGAGAGAAGTTTTAAAGGAGCCATGTGCAGACAGGATAAAGTGCAAAGATATAAAATAAGGGATTGAAAAACATAGAGAGTAAGTGAATACAGTCATGTTGGGTTGTCGCGGTGCCAAGAGGCGGTGGTATGGTAAAGGCAAGGCAAAGTAAGGGCAAATAAAGACAAAGAAAAGGCAAAGGACACCGCCATAGCAACATCAATGGTGATGACCACAGTAACAAAAAGCGAAGCAAGCAAAGACAACGTCAATGGCGGCAACAGAGACCGCGATAACAACAAAGACAACATCAGCCAAAGTGAAGGAGAATTCATCCATATCTACTTTACCTAATTCGCGCAGACACAACTTCTTCACTCCCCTCTCCCCCTGAAGAGAAGGGGTCGTCAGAGTCAAGGAATAAGCAATATCTTCATAGAAAAGAGAAACAGATCCTTTTCGTCCCCTCCCATGTAATTATTCATAAAATCACTTCTATGGAGAATTTCTCCATATAATCACTTTAAGTGGCTTTAAGTGATTTTATGGAGAATTACATGGGAGGTGCTTCTCACAAGAATCACTTAAAGTGATTATATGGAGAAGTACGTGGGAGGTGCCTCTCCCCAGAAGTGATTTTGGCCTATTCAGAATCACTCACAAATGAACCATAAACAGGTAAGTAACCAAAATCCTAATATAGTAAGGAACTAAAATCCTAACTAAATAAGGACTCACCAACAAAAAAATCAACAAGATACTAATTAGATTGAACTTTACTACAACTTAAACTATTTTTAACCCAATCCAAACGGGCAAGAACCAGTTCACCAGTCGCGATCATAAAATATTTTAGATGTCATGGCCGGCCTTCAATCAAGACGGTTTAGCTAGCTGGATGAGCCACAGCCAAGAGCTGGTGATTTTCAAGGGGCATGAAGATGAGGAATATGCCAATGGTTCCTTATGGTGGCCACAACTTTTTTATGACAATGTTTGGCTCCCATCACGCAATAATGATGGCTCATCTAACTATAGACAACCATCTCCAAGCCGTTGATGTTTATTTGATGCAGACTATACTTCTCAAGAAAGTAGCAACTAGAGTTCTCGAGAGTTCCATAATGGGGTAGATTTTATGTCGTCCTGGTATGATTTTCTTTCCACGTGATGTGTATTGTTCACTGGCTATATACATTTGTGGTCACCCTTCTCATTTACACATTCCAGACAAAGCAAATTAAATACCATTTGTTTTTCGTCGACTGTGAATGAATGACGGATAATGTTAAGGAGTCATACAATACAGTAATGGCCCACAATCGTCCACAGGTGCACGGACTACTTATGCTGTCATAACTCTGATGTTAGCGCCCTTATCTTCCGGCATAGTTTTTGAAATGAGACTAGGGATTTCAGAATTCAGTTTCCAGTGACAAAATGAGAGTAACTGCGGGTAAATAGAATTAGGAATTGAAGTAAATCAATTACATTAAATATAGGAATCTTGGCGTGTAAGGAAAGTAACTGCGGATCCACAAGTAACATCAACAAAAGTAAAATGAAAGTTTAATCATGCATACATCAGAAACACAATGGAACTCCAATAACAGTGTTAGTGATAGATACTATCAGAGTGTCATCCATGAAATAAGAACAGGTTAAGCAGACCACACAGCCAGACAGAAAACATACATCAACAATTCACAAACTCTTCCCACAATCTTGCAAATCAATCAAACTTATATTCACACAATGCCATATATTCAGTTAAAGATCAAACTGGATAGAGCTTTAGCTTTCTTCACCGCCAGGCTTCAATCCGCTCCATCCTTGAATCTATGCGACTCAGATTGCTGATACCCTTATTCTTCTCAACAGGCCCTGTTCCCCATACCACAGGCTGGTGATCACTTGTGCTTTTAGGCCCCATTTTGAAATTCGAGATACTCGATTCACCAGGTTTGTTCTTTGCAGATTCGCCTTGAATTTCCGCTGTTATGCTGTCAACTTGCGCAGCAGTATCACAACACCCATCGCCATCAACCAAGCTTATTGAACTGCTAGCCTCTCTATTAGTTAGATTATTGACATGGTTAGAGTTAGATGAACTTCCCAGTATAGGTTCTTCAGTAATCAACGATTGCTCTTTCTCTTCATTATCTTTGCCAGTATCTTCCCTGCAGGCCTGTGAAGGGCTCTGGTGTCCATGCTCATCTGAAGGTTCTTCATAGCACACAGGAGGCTCTACCACAGAATCCTTCCTTTCTCGCAGTGTCTTCAAAATAAGCATTTTGAGGAAGTTCATCACTTGGACTGCGTACATCAATGCAGTCAAAGGATCTGCCATCTGAACCCAAAAACAGAGTCAAAATATGGCAATGATAGCAAACATAGTCAGAAATCATTTAATGATTTTTCTATGGTTGGAAACTTCAAGGATCCCAAACCAGAGGGGGGGTGGGAGGTGCCCCACTGATGCTGTAGCCTGTATCCCTTTGTATGTAATATAGTACAGAATCTAGTATACAGCATATGACATGCCGCTTCAACCCTTGAACAAAAGGAGAATGAGACCTTCGCTGGAAATTAAAAAGCTATATATACACTAAACTAAAGAAACAAAAAAAATACTCATACATGCAGTGAAAGCATGTATTCAAATCAGCGATTGGGTTATCAGAAAATTAACATGTGATCTTTCAGAAGAAATAGTAACTATGCTTGCCACTGATATCGGTATGGAAGATGCACTCTTCAGGGGAAAGGAGAAAAAAGCGAGAACAGAAAAACTAT